TCCCTTTCCCGCACTCACCCTCACGCAGCTGAGCGCGCACTCGGCGTGCACCGACCAGAGCCCGGCCAGCGCCGTCAGCAGCTGCAGCGCCGCGATGGCGCCGAGCGCCAACAGCGCCGCCTCGGGCGGTCCCGCCTCCCCCGCCGCCCACAACCGCGGCCCCCACATCCACAGCCACGCCGGGTAGAGCCCGGCGGCGAAGGGCAGCACGGTGCCGCGGAGCAGGCGCGGCCGCCGCCGGTAAAGCGTCACCGACGAGACCAGCTCGTCCTCGGGGGCCGCCGCGGCCGCCGCCATTTTCCCTCCGCCCTCGCCGCGCCGCTTCCGCTTCCGGCTCTGCGCCTGCGCCGCGCGCGCGGTTCCCGCCCCGGGGCCGGGCGCATGCGCGGAGCGAAGGAGTGGCGGAAGTGAAGCGGTGAAGGAGGAGGCGCCATGTGAGTGAGGGGCGGCGGGGCCGCGCCGCGCCCGCGCTGTGTCCCCCCCCGTGTCCCTTCATGTCCGCTCCGTGTCCCCTCGTGTCCGCGCTGTGTCCCCCCCCGTGTCCCTTCATGTCCGCTCCGTGTTCCCTCGTGTCCGCGCTGTGTCCCCTCCATGTCCCTTCATGTCCGCTCCGTGTCCCCTCGTGTCCGCTCTGTGTCCCCCCGTGTCGCGCTGTGTCCCCTCGTGTCTGTTCTGTATCCCCCTCGTGTCGCGCTGTGTCCCCTCGTGTCCGCGCTGTGTTCTCCCCGTGTCCCCTCGTGTCCGCTCTGTGTCCCCTCGTGTCGCGCTGTGTCCGCTCTGTGTCCCTCCCCTCCGCGTCCCCCTGTTCCAGCCCCGCTGTCCCCGCTGGTGTCGCCGGGGATGGCACCGTCTCTGTCCCGGGGAGGTGACACCGTCCCTGTCCCCATCCCCATCCCGGGGAGGTGGCACCATCCCTGTCACTGTCCCCATCCTGGGGAGGTGACACCGTCCCTGTCCCTGTCCAAGTCTGTCCCTGTCCCCATGCCCATCCCGGGGAGGTCACCCCGTCCCCATCCCGGGGAGGTGACACTGTCCCTGTCCTTGTCCCGGGGAGGTGACACTGTCCCTGTCCCTGTCCGTCCTTGTCCCTGTCCCCGTCCCGGGGAGGTGACACGGTCCCTGTCCCCGTCCCCATCCCAGGGAGGTGACACCGTCCCCGTCCCTGTCCCCATCCCGGGNTCATGTCCGCTCCGTGTCCCCTCGTGTCCGCGCTGTGTCCCCTCGTGTCTGTTCTGTGTTCTCCGCGTGTCCCCTCGTGTCCGCTCTGTGTCCCCTCGTGTCGCGCTGTGTCCGCTCCGTGTCCCTCCCCTCCGCGTCCCCCTGTTCCAGCCCCGCTGTCCCCGCTGGTGTCGCCGGGGATGGCACCGTCACTGTCCCGGGGAGGTGACACCGTCCCTGTCCCCGTCCCCATCCCGGGGAGGTGGCACCGTCCCTATCACTGTCCCCATCCTGGGGAGGTGACACTGTCCCTGTCCCTGTCCAAGTCTGTCCCTGTCCCCGTCCCTGTCCTTGTCCCTGTCCCCATCCCGGGGAGGTGACCCCGTCCCTGTCCCTGGGAGGTGACACTGTTCCCGTCCCTGTCCCTGTCCGTCCTTGTCCCTGTCCCCGTCCCGGGGAGGTGACACGGTCCCTGTCCCCGTCCCCATCCCAGGGAGGTGACACTGTCCTTGTCCCTGTCCCTGTCCCCATCCTGCGGAGGTGACCCCGTCCCTGTCCCTGTCCCCATCCCAGGGAGGAGACACTGTCCCTGTCTGTCCTTGTCCCTGTCCCTGTCCCGGGGAGGTGACACTGTTCCCGTCCCTGTCCCCATCCCGGGGAGGTGACACTGTCCCTGTCTGTGTCTGTCCCTGTCCCCGTCCCGGGGAGGTGACACTGTCCCTGTCCCCATCCCCATCCTGGGGAGGTGACACCGTCCCCGTCCCTGTCCCCATCCCAGGGAGGAGACACTGTCCCTGTCCCTGTCTGTCCTTGTCCCTGTCCCCATCCCAGGGAGGTGACACCGTCCCTGTCCCTGTCCCTGTCTGTCCTTGTCCCTGTCCCCATCCCAGGGAGGTGACACCGTCCCTGTCCCTGTCTGTGTCTGTCCCTGTCCCCGTCCCCATCCCGGGGAGGTGACACTGTCCCTGTCCAAGTCTGTCCCTGTCCCTGTCCCCATCCTGGGGAGGTGACACCATCCCTGTCCCTGTCTGTGTCTGTCCCCGTCCCTGGGAGGTGACCCCGTCCCCGTCCCTGTCTGTCCTTGTCCCTGTCCCTGTCCCGGGGAGGTGACACCGTCCCTGTCCCCATCCCGGGGAGGTGACACTGTCCCCGTCCCTGTCCCTGTCTGTCCTTGTCCCTGTCCCTGTCCCGGGGAGGTGACCCCGTCCCTGTCCCTGTCCCGGGGAGGTGACACTGTCCCCGTCCCTGTCCCCGTCCCGGGGAGGTGACACTGTCCCTGTCCCTGTCTGTCCTTGTCCCTGTCCCCGTCCCGGGGAGGTGACACTATCCCCGGGGAGGTGACACTGTCCCCGTCCCTGTCCCCATCCCAGGGAGGCGCTGGCCGTCACCGCCCGGCTCTGCGGGCCGCAGCTGGAGCGCTACGGGCGCTGCGTGGCCGCCAGCCCCGGCAGCTGGCACCAGGATTGTCACCAACTGTCCCTGAGCGTCACCGAGTGCGCCTCCGGCCAGTGAGTGACACCCTGGGGACACTGGGGGGACACTGGGATTGTCACCAACTGTCCCTGAG